CATCATGATGAAAACAAAGGTTGCTCTTCCACCCCCCGGAGTGTTCGTGAAGGAAGATGTGTATGCTACAAAAAGATGGAGAAGAGTCCAATATCTTATTGAACAGTTCTGGGGCCGCTGGAAAAGAGAGTATCTGCTCAACATATCAACAAGGCAAAAATGGCACTTACCTCGGCGTAACCTCAAGGTCAATGATATCGTTGTTATCAAGGACGACAATCTCCCACGAAACCATTGGCAACTAGGTCGAGTTGTGAAGACCTTTCAAGACCATGATGGCTTAGTCCGTCGAGTTAAAGTGCGAGTTGGAGAGAGAAAGCCTCAAAGAAAGCAAGATGCCCCTTCTAAACCTTCAGTAATTGCATAAAGTACACTTACCTGTATACCTCTAATAGTTCAATTCAGTCATCCATCTATTAGTATAAGAAATCCTGTACAACTCACTTGCTTTGGGAATTTGTTCGTTCATTGTATCAGGATTTGGTGGGAGTGTAAATGCCGGCAAAGCCACTTTACTTTGCGCTTTTATTTTGAAGAGTACATTAGCACTTCCTCTTTTATTGTGTCAGACTTCCTGTTCTGTTCTCGGTGAGGCGACGCAAACACGTTGCTTCAGAGTGAGTAAAAGCGTTTGTTTTTTGAGGGTACTCATGCAGAACTATGTGTTTATGTATCTGTCACATGCTATAACTTTGAAAGTTTACTCAATGTTGTTGAATTCGTTTTTTATTGTGTATGCATGTCATTTGTTCGTGGTGTGGAAAGACTGGCTAAGAGATGCGCATGGAGGAGGTTGGCTAGCTGATTCAGCATGATTAGCACCCTTGGAAGCAGAAAGAGGTTGGTTAATGATTGCAAATGATTGTTTATGTATTTAAGAGACAGAAAGGTTGTTGTTAATTCATTTTATTAAATGCTGTAACATAAATAGTTTAAAAACTATTGATTTATGTCAATATCACTATTTGGGTTAATCAAAATAATTTTCTATAGTAAAATGCGAACATTTCTGCACTTTCTACTTGAATGTTTAATGGTATTTGTTTGTGCATCTTTATAGTTTTCACGGTGCCATATTGTCGGTGGTTTAAAGAGGAGAGAATAAAGTTGCATCAGTCGAAGCTCTCTGCGTCACGAGTGGTTATTCCAAGTGGGCAGCTACACTGATTACTGGTGTGTGTATTTAAGCCCTGTGTGTTTTCCTGCCTGTTGCCGGTTCGTCTGTATTACTCAGTGTCAGTCTGTGTATCCACCGTGTCTTCTCCCTGCTGTTCATCGTCATCCTCCTCTGCTCGTTTTCATTCAGGTTTGTGCTCTGTAGTTTAGTTGTTTCCCAGTTTAGTTTAGTTCGAGCCCCGTTTGCTGTTTGTCCACATTCTTTTGTGTTCAATAAATCACCTTCACTCCTCTACGACTGCCTGCGCTTGGATCCTCATTTATTCCACATGGCTCGCCTCGGCAGCCGTGACACTAACATCCTAACCCCATACTGTGAAGCATTTTTGGCTTATCCAGGATATGTAAAACTAATACAGCCAGTTGGGATATTAGAGCAGAGAAATTGTAATCATCCCATTAAGTTCTGCCCGACGTATATGTAGGCTGGATTTTTAGTGCTAGGTCTTAAAACAGTCCACAAACAATACAGGTTGCCATAAAAAATACTAGAAATACCTCTACTGAATATTAACCATGTGATCATCTACATCAAGAGTTATCAAGTTTCTTATTTCAACTTGTTGAATTGCTGTTATACATCCGTGCTGCTGTCTCTGACACCCTGCAGTTTGGAAGCCTTGCTATGAAGGCTATCTCTAAAGAAATGTTACGAGCAGGGTTTGTTGGTTTTGCAAGTGATCGGCCAATGGAGAGGATCAGCTGTTCTCCTGTGTAAAAAACATCAACACTAATCTGACCGTCATTCACTGTATTGTTCACAGCTAGTACCTGCAGTTCACAATGTTATAACACATTACATTTTGCATGTTCCTCCCTTGTGCAGGAATTTGTAGTTAGGCTACACGAGGTTAAAATGGCAAAAAAACAACACAAAACAAAAAAACTTGTATTGTTGCATTTGATTATAAGTAGGGATGGGTACCGGTGTCGGTTCTGACATAAACGGTAGTAACCAGACCGAAAAGCAGCGCACATTTCGGTGCTTTATTTCGGTGCTTTTTTTTCCTGAGCTGTGATACACTTTAGATTCTAGCCAATCATTTTACGTTTCCGAGTAGTAGGCGGGGCCAGGTATGTACGTTCTGTTAGAGCAGAGCTACAGATTAAAAATGCCCAAGGCGAAGCGGTCAAAAGTCTGGCTGTACTTCACAGCAAAATATGCAAACTCAGCAGCCTGCAACAAGTGCTTTAAGCTGATACTGTGATACTGTCAAAGGAGGTAACACCTCAAATCCGATGAAACACCTGGCGACGCATAGCGTTTTTTTAAAAGCCCAGAAATGCGCCGTATTTGATAGCTTGCTGCGAGACCTCACACCGTGCACATCTACTGCGGGCGGGTTGCCTGTTATGCAACATCCCCCAAAAACACGAAGAGGAGAGTCCTGGCCCCTAGCCCTGCCAGTGTAGCAGAAATGATGACGGATGATGATGGCAACAGCCGTTCTTCTCTGCGTGAGTAGCTAATTTACGTTGAGTAGGCTAACCACGTTATTACAGTAATGCATGTAAGGTGAACTAGCAAACATCATCATAGCTACATGCGGCTGTCCTCTTGTTTGATGGCAGATACTCCCTTCACCCTGGCTAAAAAGGCTAAAATGACCAAAGAAAAAGTGGAAAACAGTTAAACATGAGAGGTTTAGGACAAAGTTTGTGTTTTTTTTCCATTGTTTAAGCACTGCTTCCAGCCAAGAGTGATGCCATATATGCCCCATAGCTGCAGAAAAGGCTAACATTGTTATCTTTTTACAAAAAAAACAGCTGAACATGAGGTTTTTGGACAAAGTTTGTGTTCTCCATTCTTTAAGCACCGGTTTGAGCACCGTTTGAGCACCGGCACCGTTTCAAAAGTACCGATTTGGCACCGGTATCAGATAAAACCTAAACGATACCCATCCCTAATTATAAGCATCTAAAGAGGAAAAAGCGCGAGTGAGAGTGAATTTCATGTAAAAAATATATTTTTTGTAAAATTCTGCGATTATATTTTTAAGCTCTGGACTTAATTAAAGTTCTTAATTGCCACATTAGCAGTAGTAATAAATACAATAAGAGTGGCATAATTGTAAACGTACGCTGATCAACCACAACATTAGCGTCTGGCCTGATAAAGGTTTATTACCACTCACTGAGGCATGGACACAGAAACTCTAAGGGTGTGTAATGTTATGGCTGATGTGGCGTTTGTCATGTTGCAGTACTAAGTGTGACTGCTGTGCAAAACTGCAAAATGCCATTAATAGCAGCCTGAATGCTCTTTCAGTCATCAGCTGATGCAAAAGCCAGGACTTTCTGTTTGTTGTAGAGTTACAGAAACTTTGCAAAGAGCAAGGCCAAAGGACGATCTCATTAAATTTTGGTGCGGCTCGGGAACCCTTGATCTAGATAGAAAATTGGCCTAAGTTCTTAGAGTTCTTTTGAAGTTTAAATTGTATTTAGATAGTCAACAAATGAGTTTGTCAGTATAATAAAATAAAGTCAACAAATTAAACAATAAAAAAAAAGCTGTGTCCCTTAAGGATTGTGGCACAGACATAATAGTTGGTTCCTTTTGGGCATATAATGGTGCAGCCATGTATAGACTGCTGTTTGCACCGCTATTAATAGGACCCTTAAGGTAACAGGGTACATACAGTAAACTGTGCAAAGAGGGAGGTCTACAGTGACCTTCCTGCATGTTTATCTGATGTGTCAGTGAATTTAAAAGAGCTGTTAGTTCGGTTGAAAGAATTATTCACACATAATTTAAAGGGTTTTTAGTGTGTATGTGTGTGTGGTTATAAAAATATAATGTACTCACTTTGACATCATCATTTCAAAAACTCAAATCTGTCTTTTACTGTTCAATTAGCACAAAGTTAAGTGGTAACAATAACAGAGAGAGCGGGCTTTAATGAAACTGCTATAAAGGTTTCATATTTATAAAGTAATGTGTTTTAAATAATGAACTTTTTGTCATTGTTCAACCTTTGCCTCCACAAACTGGAACAGGCTAGTCAACACTGCAGGCAAAATTCATCCGTTACCAACTCAGCCTTCTTCCTCACTCATTTATTTTTCCAATCGAAGACGCTCACAATGAAGGCACATCAATCATTGAGATGTGTCATCTCTGTTCACAGAACCCCCGGGCATGGTATAAAACATTTTTTCGATGCAATATTCAGTTGGCTTATCTAGTAAGAGGCGGAGGGGGCAGGGAAAATAAAAAACTCAACCAAACTCAGGCACTGTCAAAAAAATTATTCATAAATATCAGCATCACGGTCTTTGCATGGCTTTGAAGTGCCTTTTGAAAGGAAGATATTTGCTCTCCTTTATCCATCCCTCTGATGCACTGACATGCCCGAACAGCTGCAGGAGAAAATAAAGAGAGAAAAAAAACTCCAATTAATAGCTAAAGGGTCTCTCGCAGTGTTTCCCTCCTCTGCAATTACTGCAGAGTGTGCTCAGACTGCATTATTGTCTACCTACACTGTGTATTGTATTTGCTCCAGAGCAAATGGTATTTCACTACACTTTGTGAAGAGGTTCTGAAAGTAGAGAAGGGGTAATATATTTCCACCAGAAGGTTAAAGTTACCTGGTTAAAGCGTCCTATAGAAGCTTTAGCCACTTAGTTTGTAGAAAGCATCATCCAAACATATCTCAGGGCCAGCTTTTCTAATGCGTTTTGGGATAGAAAAAAAAATGCCTGTATTTACAAAGAGTGCAGTGACAAGATTTTGTGTAAGAGGTAGGAACTCAGATATTTTTACTGGACTTGCTGCATGTGTACTTTTGGGAGATTCTTTTTGATTAACTAAAGTCTGCAACACACAGTTTACTGCAAATTGTCCTGATATTTAATGAAAAAGGCATGTCTTATTTCCTGAGGTTGGTATTGCTTGCTGCCAAGAAGCAACTCTTAAGGATAAACAGCTGAGCTTTGCCAAAAGACACAAAAATAAGTTGCAACAGGTCTTACGGACTGATGAATCCAAATAGAAATCTTTGGTTCAAATGGTCATTATGTGTAGAGGAGGTCAGGAGAGAGGTATAGCAATGAGTGTCTGCAGGTTTGTGTCGTGGTTTGAACCAGTATTTCATGGAGCAGTGTGGGAGAATGTGTCAAAATTTAAGAAATTATGGATACAGAAAAGTACTGTTAGATTTTGATCCACCATGCAATGCCATTGAGAAAGTGTCAAATTGACAAAGGTTCAGTTTTACTGCATTATACCAAACAGACCAATGCAATGAAATCATACCTGGTTGGTGGTTCAATCTCTGACTCCCCCTAGTCTGCATGCCAAATATCCTTGGCCAAGATATTAACCTGAAGTTGCTCTCTGATGCATCCATTGGAGTATGAATGTGTGTTTACTTAAAATCATAGAAGAAAGTGCTTGTGTGAATGGGTGTGAATGGGTGACTGTGGTATATTGTATTAAGTGCTTTGAGTACTCTGGGAGAGTAGAAAAGTGCTATTCAAGAATCAGTCCATTTACCATTTACCTTGATAGAAAAACACACAATAGGATGCTTATCAATCATGGATTGGCCTCCATGCCGGACAACAGCGTTACTGGAACTGTCTATTCCATCTTCCAATATGTAAAAGAAAGCAGTGAACTAAGCCAACAAATAGAAATAGGCATGGCCCAAGACATTTTCGTGTAGCACTATATGCTCTTTATTTATAAGACATTTCCCAGTAACCCAGACATCATCCACCTGATCAAAGCTGGTTGTGGTATTATAGAAAAACGGACATTTTCCACAGTACCGTATATCTTATAAGCATTTTGATGCTTTAGCTGGTGTTGTACATATGTATGTTTACAAGAGTTATTTATGTCTATCCATAGCGTCATGGAAAAGGCATAGCATTCATGTGCCTTCGCTCTGCAGTGAAGCTCTCTCTTTTTGCTCCTACAGTAAGCACTAGCATTACCATTAGTAACTCGTA